GCTTGTTCTTATTTTTCAGTTCCTCAAGTTGTAAAGGTAGGTTGTTTTTCTTATTTTTTTAAAGGATAGAATTAATAGCTATACATTTTTCTCTTACAACTAGTTTTACTGCATTTCCTAAGTTTTTGGTTACTTTCTTGTGGTTATTTTTGGCATGGAATATCTTTTTCCATTCTTTCCTTTCAAGCTACTTTTGCCTTTAGATACAAGTTACATAAGATCTAAAATAAGTCTCTTATAGACATCATATAGTTAAATTTTTTATCCATTCTGATACTCTCTGTCTTTTAATTGGAGAGATTAATCTATTTACATTTAAATTAATTTCTGATAAAAGGGATGTACTTTGGTCATTTTTCTATTGATTTCTTACATATCTTATAACGACTTTGCCCCTCATTTCCTGCATGTCCTGTCTTGTTTTGTGATTAACTATTTGTAGTGAAACATTTAAATTTCTTTCTCACTTCCTTTCATATGGACTCTATAGGTGTTTGTTTGTTTTGGTTACCATGAGGATTACATGTTACATCCTAAAATAAGAACATTTTTATTTAAATTTATACCAGCTTAACTTCAATAACATACAAAAACTCTGTTCTTATTTAGCAGCTGTGTTCCTACCTTTCAATTGTTGATTTACAAAATCACATCTTCATATATTCTGTACATCAAAGCATTAAGTAATAATTCCTTTAAGTGTGTTAGTCTCAAATTGTGTAGGAAACAAAACGTAGAGTTTTAAACCATGTTACAATGATACTATCTTTATAACTGACAAGCATTTACCTTTGTTGAGATCTTTATTTCTTTGTGCAACTTTGAGTTACTATTTAGTGTCTTTTATTTTATCTTACAGGACTTCCTTTGGCATTTCTTACAGGAAAGATTTAGTGGGAAGAAACTTCCTCAGCTTTTATCTGGCAATATCTTAATTTTTGAACTGTTCCTTACTTTTGAGGAACAGCTTTGCTGGAGATAGGGTGCTTGGTTGACAGTTTGATTGTTTTGTTTTTGACTTTCCTTTTAGCACCCTGAATTTATCTGCCCACTGCTTTCTGGCCTCCAAGGTTTCTGAGGAAAAATCTGCTATTAATCTTACTGAGGATCCTTGTATGTGAGAGCTACTTCTCTCTTGCTACTTTAAAAATTCTCTTTGTCTATTGAAAGTTTGGTCATAATGTCTCTGTGTGATTTTCTTTTAGTTTATCTTTCTTAGAGTTCATTGAGCTTCTTGGATGCTTATATTCATGTTTCTTCAAGTATTCTCTGCCTCTTACTCTTTCACTTCTACTTCTGGGACTCCCATAATGTGTATGTTGGTCCACTTGATGCTGTCCCACAGGTCCCTTGGTCTCTTTTGCCTTTTTTTCCATTAAAAAAAATGAATTTCTCAGACTCAGTGATTTCCATTTTCCTGTCTTTAAGTTTGCTGATTCTTTCTTCCATCTGCTCAAATATGCCTCTGAATCCCTCTAGCAATTTTTTAAATTTCAGTTATTTTACTTTCCAGCTTCAGAATTTCTTTTTCAAATTCTTTAAGGTTTCCTGTATCTTTATTAACATTTTCATTTTGTTCATATATTATTATCTTTACTTTCTCCACGTATTTCTTTAGTTCTTCGAGCATCATTAAGACAGCTGTTTTCAAGTGTTTGTCAAGTAGATCTGCTATCAGGTCTTTTTCAAGGACAATTTTATGTTGATTCATTTTCTTCCTTTGAATATGCCACATTTTCTCATTTTCTGTTTGCCTTGTAACTTCTTGTTAAAAACTGGACATTTGAATTTAATACTGTGATAACTCTCAAAATCAGATTCTTCATTTTCCCCAGGGTTTGCATGGGGTTTGTTGTTGTTAATTTAAAAATTAAATTTTTTCTTATTGTGGGCTGTCTCTGTTCCAAGGATGAGACTGAGTGTAAACTGAAGGTCCTCTCACGTCTTTTCTGAGCCTGCACCTTTCCCTGAGCATGTGTGGTCACTTTCTAATTCTCTCCATATATTAAGTTGCTTTTGAATGTCCTAGTCTTTAATGTCTGGCTTCCAAGGAGGAAAAAGTAAAATAAAGAGTTTTGGGTGAAGTGTGCCAGCCCTTTAAATACCTTGGAAGTCACTTCAGCTGGTGGACATGGGAGGCAAGGGTTGGGACAATGGGGAAGATGCAACAACAGTGTCAGCTGCCACCTTTTCATCTGCACCTCTGTTATCAACAGCTGCAATCAACATTCACAACACAACTTCCTCACATTTGAAGGACGGGGTCTTTTTCCCCGCTCTAGTTCTCACAAACCGCATGCAGGCTGTTCCAGGAACATGTGCACAGCTTTCATCACAAGGCTGGGGTGGAGAGTGGGTAGCCGCTACTGTGCTAAAGCCGAAATTAACCCAAATTAACGACACTTTACTGTCCAAGCCTTTATCTAGAAATGGCAAGCTTTCAATGGACTCACAAAATAGTTACACCAGAAAGATTTTGCCACTGCGACTGTTATCTAGGTGGGAATACAGATTTCTGATGTTTCCTTCTCCACCATTTCCTCCAAACTACTAAAACTTTTAATTTCTTAATTCCCTTTATGCTGTAAAATAGAGATGACTCACAAATATAGCTTATACATCCATTGTAACAGGTTTCCAAAAGATCTCCTGTACATAGTCTTCCCAATGCTCACAAGTACAAATCAAACATTGTATCTTAAATTGATGATCAATAGCAGAATCATTCTCTGTAAACCCGGGCTGTTCTAGACCAGATCAAATCATTCAACATTCCTGACTCCTTTCCCCAAGACAGGGTCTGACAACCAGGGCTGTTCTAGACCAGATACCATAAATCATTCAATGTTCCTGACTCCTTTCCCCGAGACAGGGCAGACAGAGATTAGGCACATCCAGCACAGCTTCTCTCTCTCCCATGGCAGCACACAGGACTCTAAGGAAGCTGGGAAGCTGTGCTGTTTGAGGAAATCACTGAGTTGAAAGTTCTCTACCTCAAAGTAATCCCTTACTTGTCAACCTCACCTGCTGCAAATCTGGGCATAAGGAGATCTTTGTTTCAGGCAGTTCATTTTATTTCGTTTTTTTATGAATACTTACTTTACTACCATTTTCCAACCTCACCTCCTAATGCTGTGCTTACCCACATTGACTTTCTCTTATAGGTGCAGATTCTACACACATTTAAAGACTTCCTTAAAACTCTGCCTCTAGTATACCATCATCTACCACTCTAATAACAATTATCCTTTCTCTAGCCAAATTCCTACCACCATCATCTTCTTGGCTACACCAGGAGACATGTTGGACTATTCATTTTGGACTGTCCTCTTGCGGTCCCAATTCTCTATGCTTTACCTTCCCAAGAGGACTTTAGGTCTTTAAGGCCAGCAACTATGGCCCAGGACTCTTGTACATCACGCTAACGTTTGGGAATGAGCTCACAGCTGGCGTCTAAGGTGTCAAGATGAAATGGCCCCACTTCCCTTCATAGGTAAAGGGACTGTCAGAGCATGGCATGCCTTAGGTCCTTACAACAAAGACAAATGAATATCCTACATGCTCAGGGATTCCTCTGGGGGATAAAAGGGAAGTAGCAGAGTAAGGAGAAGACTTTTACAAGCAGTTTTCTCATGGAGAAATTGGGGACAATAATCCCACCTTCACTGGGTCATAAGAAGAATTGAGTGGGTCGTGGAATGTGAAAATGCTTTGTAGAATCCGCAGTGCTGCAGAATCGTCCTTTACTTCTGTTATGTATTTTTGGCTTTCATCCCCAGTAGATCCTTAAAAGTAAAGCACATTAGGGGATGGTTCTTGAGAGCACTGCATCCAAATTAGTTTCCCCACCTCCTGTTCTGACTCCCCCCTGCCCCTGCCCCAACACACACACACCAAGGTGTTATATAACAGCAAACAGTGAGGGCACACAGCCAATGAGAAACAACCCTGCTTCATCACACATCTCTCTTGCACCATCATCATTTTCTGTTCAGGACTTGTGATGTCCACAAAAGAAAGAGAAAGGGCTCTGTTATGTGTCCAGAACTTTCCACTGTACTTGTCAATTCTCTCAGTAGAAAATAGAGGTTATAAAAAATACCAGCTGGTCATACTTTCCGGGAGAAAGAGATAAATAATTAGGAGTCCATTTAAACACACATGGAATGACTCAGGACCATGTTACAAGCCCAAATATACCTTTTCATGCTCTACAAACTGAAAAGGTAAAGAGTAAGATTTGGAATCTCAGAGACACACAGCAGGGCCAGCCAGTGTGGGCATGAGGTTGCGGTTGCTGATCTCAAATGTGCAGTCCACACACCCAGGCTTGAGGTTTGGATATCTATCTGAGCAATTCTCAATTTTGTCTTTGGCGTGGGCTGGAGTGTCCACAGGAAAGGCTGTTCTTTCAGGATCTGAGCCCATCTGTTCCTAGCTGACACCAAGGTTTGAAAAGTGCAGACCCACATGAAAATGAAACTACATCAACTGCTGCTTTTAAAGTTAACCAACCTTAACTGGGACTTGAAAGTATTCTAATTTCGTCCAACTTTGGTTAAAAGTTTGGAACCATTGGTATTATTGCATGCAAAAGTCTATAATGAATGTAGATTCTTAGATTGAGAACCAAGGAAAATAAAGTTGCTGATGCTGAACTTTAAGGAGTGACGTGCTCCAAGCAGTTCCAAATGTTTCATAAATGCAGAAACTCTGACTAATTCTATAATATGTCTTAAAACCCCTTAAAGTGTTGATAACTCTTGACCCAACAATTTCACATCCAAAATATATGTGAAGAAAAAATCAGAAATGCACATAAATTATTATGTACAATGTTGTTCTCTGCAATATTATTTTTAGTAGTAAAGTAAAATTTAAAATTAAATGTCCAACAATGAGTTTGACTAAATACATTATTATAAATACACATGTATATATATATACACACATCTATATATATAAAAGTACTAGTTCATTTAAAATACATGTAAAAACTATAGAATATATTTGTTATATATTTTCAAACAAAATATTTTAAAATACAAATATAGAATATGACCCCAATTTTATATACACTATGCATAGATAGACACACAGACACACACACACACACACACACACACACGAGATAAAAGACTGCAAATTGTTTAGTACTGCAAAACTCTAAATGTTTAATCTCTTAGTAATGATATTACAGGAAAACAATAGCAAACAGTAAACACACCAAACATCCAATGAAAAATAGAAACTGCCATGTTCACTTCAAATAGGTTTAGACATCACTTTCTCATCTACTAAGTGATTAACTACTGAGTGATTGATTAAATAGATATCACAAAAATTGTGGGTCAAAAACACTCCCATCATAGTTATTTCCACTATATCTGTTGACTCCCAAATCTAAAGTGTAGCCAAGACTTTCATATATTTCCCAACTGCCTCTGCACAGTTGGAGATAGTTAAAGTAAAAATAGAGTTTGAATCAGAAATCAATATATCAAATCCTAGCTCTATCTTTTTATGCTTGTGTGTTATTGGGTGACAATACTAAAACTTCTGCAACCTCAACTCTGTATCTATGAGACTGGCATGGTTCTGGGAGACCACATGTAGGAAGGTCCCAAGTGGACTACGGTTAGCAAACCCCAGCCCTTCCATGCCTTCTGGTCCACCTGCTCCTGCCTGCCCCTCAGTTAAGAGACAGCCCCCCGTGAAGCCCACGCCTGGAGGACCCTGACCCCATTCCCCTTGGTGCCCGTGCCCACTGCCCAGCCCTGCGGCTCCCACCCATTGACTCTGGAGCCGTCGTCTCCCTCTCCTGCCTACTTCACCAATACCGCCCTTCACGACTTCCTCTTCTAATGCCGAGCAGTGTCCTCGTCCCACGCCAGGTCTCATACGCAGCCTCCCCGGGCCACAGATGTGTGGGGAGCAGGTCTCAGTTCTTGTCCTCCATCCCCACTCTGGCCTCACCCTCCTGTCAGTCTGCTCAGTCCCGACACCGCCTTCCAGACCCATGTGCCCTCATGCCCTGTCCCCCAGGGCCAGACTGGCCATGGCCTCCCCTCCCCAGCCTGCCACAGGTTTACAGAACATCTCACCTGTCTTGCTCAGAGCCCACATGAGACCGTGCTGCCCTCAGGGATCACGACCTGGTGAGGGAGGGATTGAGCAATGTTGTACACACCACGTGTTTCCACCTGTGCCTGGGACATTGGCACCTGCTCTCCAAATGCTTCGGGAATAAATGAGAGTCAATTTAATCTACATCCACAGAGAAGAGGAAGGAAAGGCACTGAAATGTGACATTCGTCAAACATGCCAGGACTGTTCAAGCTGCCTTTCACACACATCGAAGTTTAGCTTCTCCAAAGCAAGGGGAGGCCAACGAGCCCCAAATCACCCACAGCAGGGCCAGGATTTGAATTAATCTTCCAGATTCCAAACTCTTCACTAGACCGTGGTTTCCTAAAATGAGAAACCAGCTGACGAGAGCGGGAGGCATGAGTGCTGCCCTACCATAAAGGGATCGCATCTGAAGCTACAGCCACCATGACCTTACATTCTTTTTCTTCTTTCACTTCAGAAGTGTATCTGAATCCTTAGTTCTAGATGAGAAGCTTTCTAGGTAGTCAGCAGTATGGTATCACTTACGAACAGAAAGGAATCACAAATGCATCCCCACGACTATGAAACTATAGTTTAGTAGTCAAAACCTCTTTATGGCACTACAGCATCTAAATACAGAGTAATATAAATGCCTCAAAAGGTTAAGAAGGTGTCATTTCTTACACGTTTTCTACATAGAACATAACTGCTGTGTCCTGCCCTGTTCTGCCGGGCTGGTCACTGTGCTTTACCGTGCATATCAACAATGCCCCTGGAGTTGTGCAGTGCACAGCCTGCGCAGCTGTGCCTGGTGGTCGTGGCTGTGGCACTATCAACGAGGCAGTTGTATATGCCTCTGGAGGTTTCACCGGACAGACACGTTTGTAAAGTATGGAGTGCAAACAGTATTTAAAGGCAGGGACATAGAGGCATTACTGAAAGAGCTTGTAGAGAGAGGGCAGAGAGGCCAGCACCGAGGGGCCAGACTGCACCAGCAAAGAGAGCTCAGACGCAGGAGCTGGAGCCTGGAAAGGAAGCTGAAATGGACCAATCAGTGGAACAAAATCACGAGAGGGTAGAATCAGCAAAGAGCAGCAGGAGATGCTGGAGGGAGGAGCGGGGCACTGTGAAAGGTGCCCCAGGAAGCCCCAGCCCCGCTGGCAGCACAAGGTCAATGTGATCCTTATCGTCCCTCCCGCTTATGCACAGGTGCACAGAGCAGATGCTCAGTATTGGCCTCCCCCATAAAACGTGCAGCAGCCTGCAAGCTGTACGAAGCCAGGATCCGGTCTGTGCCCCTTCCCCGGGGGGCTTGCCTCCCGGGCTTGTGCTAAATGCTCACTATTGAACAAAGCAACCAGTCGATCAGTGCATGGATGAACAGAGGAAAGAATAAAATCCCACCATTACACTGAGCCCTCACACAAGCCTGTGCAGAGAGGCGAATGGGTTGTTACGCTAAGTGCTGGATTTAGAAGCGACTGAGATGTGGTAAGGTCAGTGATCTGCCTAACGTCATACAGCTGGGAAGGGACAAGACTCTGTCTCCAGACTCCAGATCTCATTAATTCTCAGCACACGTGCCGTACTGTCCCAACAGGCAGCAGCCCCCTGGCCTCCTTCCTCACACACACGCTCACACCCACTGAGACACACAAGATACTAGTGCTGGAGGAGTCTTATCTGTGAGAAGACCCTTTCCATAGCAGCACTGGCTTTGCATAGACTGTGCCCTCATCAGTTACAGTGACCTGTTTCAGCCCTAACTGTTCCTCACCCAAGTAACGATGACAAGGATGGCCTGCACCGAATTCTCAAGATTTGGTCTGTTTCTAACAAAGACACAGAGTCCCCGGTCTTCTCTGTCACCTGGAGCTCAATGCACTTCCAAAAGTCCTGCCCACACAGTCACCTGGAGCCATTTCAGGCAGAATCCAGACCTGCACCATGCTCCTTCAAGAGAAGAAGCAAGAGGCATCAAGGAAGTGAGAGAAGGTAACAGTATTGCTTCACAGGCTCACCGCAGGGCACACAGGTGGCAGGTAAGACCACAGGGCACACAGGAGGCAGGTAAGACCACAGGG